GGTGCAGTCGGAATGGGACCAGCTCAGATTGAGGTCTTTGCTCCACCGGACCTGTGAAATCTGCCCCAGGTTTTCGCTTCTGCTGTTCTGTGCGCCCTCGCAGCCCCCAGCCAGCCCAGCTCTGGCCTCTTCATTCTGTCTTCCCTTGCCTCTTAGTCCTAAAATACATGGCCATGGGCAAGGTTTTTTTTTTTTTTTTTTTTTTTTTCCCCTGCGCTGCCTTTTTTCTGGCATTCAGTGGCCTCATCACCCAGGATTTTTATTTTGTAGGAAATCCACGTCTTGTCAAATGACTTGCCTGTTTGAGAGTTTTGGTGGCTTTCTGTCCCACCCACCCCGCAGGGCCTTCCTGGTCTTTCTCTTTCCAGACCCCTGGCCATTCACCTCTCCCCAAGGCTCTATACTTGGTCCTTGGGCCACTTCCACCCAAGTGGATGATCAGATGCACTGCGCGGAGCTCTGACTTTTGGAGTTATTTCCCCTCACTCCTGTCTTCCAAGGATACCCCCTGAGTAAGGCTATTCATGCAGCCACCACGTATATCCTGCTTCTTGTGCCCACAGATCCAGCCCAACGAACCACGTGTGGCAGGAGTGAAGCTGGGAAGGAGAGAGCCAATAGAAGGATGCGTAGCCGAGTTGGCCACCACTGTGGGACTCTTCCCTTGGTCCCGATGAGGGAGCAGAGGGCTAGCTGAGGACAAAGCAGAAGCTGACACCCTACACACACACACACACACACACACACCATGTGGTATGTGTGACATTCCTCAGGCACTCCTGGTTGCCCTAAAGGAAAAACGAATGGTTAACTGATAGAGATCACAGTCTTGCAGGACAGGAATCTCCTTCAGTTTACGAAAGTCTTCGCAATTTACAAGGACAAAGCGTTTCTATCAATGGCCTAGCTTCCAGAAGGGAATGTAGATACAATTAAATGTCCTTATAATTTGCAGCCCATTGACAGATACTTGAAGAGGGCAAAGTGTAATGTTTTTCCAGGAAGCTCCAACTATCTTACTTATCTACGCTTACTAGAAGGAAAAGCAACCTTAACTTGACCATGGCAAGGCCTCTGGTATCCTGTGAGTCTTTAACATACAAAAATCCTTTTGAAACCTCCCTTTTCCTTACCTCCCCCAACTCCCAAGTATATAATCAGCCACCCCTCACAACTGCAGGGCAGCATCCCTTTCTGCCCACGGGTCCTGTCCCCAGGCTTTAATAAAATCACCTTTTTGCCCCAGAGACGTCTCAAGAATTCGTTCTTGGTCGTGGGCTCCGGACCTCACTTATATTCTAAAACTTCATCAGTCCCACGGAACTGTCTCGAGAAGTGATGTAAAACCTGTCTCAGGACAGTTTGTCCCGGGAGAGGAGAACAGACGTATCCACTGACTCCTGTGTCCCATCGGCGGCTACTACCCCCCAGGGCAGGCACTCTCCTGCACTTGGGGGTTGCACAGTGTGGGTGCTGGCTGGGAACCCGGCAGCGTCCACAGGAAAGCTCCCACGTGAGAGTCCACAGGCGTCAGCTGTGTGGTTACGACGGCATGAAGTTGGTCACAGCCCTTGCAGGACCGGCACTGCAGTGGTGGCTGGATCAAGACTCGTGAGGCCCCGAGGATGTAAAGTGTTGCATAAAGGGGGAAAGGGGGTGTCTGTTACCGCTACGTAACGGGAAGTGAATGAAGTCCCAAAAGATTTCGTTTGGCGCGATGACCATTTCATTTAATTACAAATAACTACCGTAGTTGTCTGCACTTTCTAGGCAATCCATATAACTGCAATAGAGCTATATAATAAGAAAAGCAAAGATGCGGTGAACGGGAGGGTCGGGAAGTTATGCTGGGAGAGGAGAGACGCGGAGGGGCGAGGAAACGGGAGTCGGCGCAGTCACAGGTCAAGGTTAAAAGCCGCGCTGCGCCCCGCTGCCACAAGAGGGCGCGCGCTGCTAGCGGCCACGTGCGCCGCCGCGGGGTTTTGTTTTCGCAAAAAGGAAAGTTGAGGCCCGCTGCGAGAGGGGTGGCAGGGCACCAGCGGGCGCGGCTGCTGGCAGGGGACCCCGGGGACTCCCCGAGGAGGGCCCCCGCCCCGCGCGCTGCCCTGGGTTTCGGGAGGAAGCAGGTGCCGGCCCGCGAAGCGTCGGCTCGCTGCGGCCTCAGCCCTGACTTCCTGGGGCGCGACAGACACCCTCGGTCCCCGGCGCCCGCGGGCCCCGCAGGGGGGCAGACCCAGGGCCCGCGGGCGGCGCAGAGCCTCCGCACGGGCTTGCTTCGGCCCGAAGCGTCTCTTTTAAAAGTTCGTTTGGCAGCCTTTTTAAACTCAGGAAATGCGGAGCCTAAAAATCCAGACTTCCCCGTCCCTCGGGCACTCGGGGCATCTGGCAGCCCTGGGGTGCTTCCCCCCCGCCCCCTAGCACCCCCTTCCCCGGGGAAGGGAGGGGTTTTCATCGTTTTGGTCAGGTGGATATTCAGCGGGACCATTATTCTGGCTGTTACCTGAGCCAAGGGGCGCACTTGATACCGCGTTTCCTTTTTTGCACAACTCTGCAGTGGAGTTAACCGTGGTCCTTCTCATTTGCGTAATTCTCCTGGACAGAGAAAATTACAGTAAAACCCCAGCGAGCCACCAGTTGCCCCCTTCACCTCACAAGGTCCAAACGCTCCAGTTAGCCTCCTGGTGGCCTTCGTGAGGAGGCCCCTCCATGTCCCCTCTCCCAGCCTGGGCTGGTTGCTCTAGCCAGCCCCCCGGTGCCCAGCCTGGCAGCAACCTGCCTCTCAGGGGGTTCTGAACGTTTAGTTTTGTTTTTTGTTTCGTTTTTAAACAGAGAAACCCCCCTTTTCAATCTAAACTGTATGAAACTCCACTCTGTAAAACAGGAAAAAGGTATCCATATAAATGGCCAGCTTACAGTTCTATATACTTACTGTAAGGTCAGTCCATAAGAACGGGATTAATTTGAAAAGCCCACAATTTGGAGTAAGAGCACTGGGGCTGTAGCCTCATCTCTGCATTCATTCCCCTGCTTTGTCTTGGCTGTGCGGGTCGGAGAAATCCCGCTCCACCCAGGACGCCCAGGACGCGGCAGGTTCAGAGCCACTCACCTGGAGGCGCGAGGCCAGGGTCCCCTGAAGCTGCCCAAGGTGAGGGAGGTGGGGGGGGGCGGGCGGGAGGGTCGAGGGGTTCCAGGGTCAGTGTTTGCTACTGAGAGCAGGAGAGTGTGCGGTTTAAGGGGTTAACCTATTTTGCACATAAAATCAGACAGCCACGATCCCCCTGAAGCACCCCTGAGAGTTCACAGGATGTTCAAAGTGCTGGTTGCTGAGGAGACGCCCCAAAGGCCCTTGTGTTTCCATGGCAACAGTCAGCTTTTCATGCTGGGGAGGAGGCCTGGGTGGGAGATGGTGGTACAGGGGATGGGCCAGCTCGGGGTCATCTTAGCATCCTGGCCGGAGGGCTGAGCAGGTAAAGGTGTCTGGAAGAGAAGCTTCTAGCACACGGTTGTAAGCACAAGGAGTGTGTCAGGCCCTGGCAGGGCCTCCCTCAGGAACACACTTGTTTCCTCCTCTGGGCCCGTCTGCAGACACCAGAGCCAACTGCCTGTGGACGAAGCCAGTTGGCCCAGGCCAGCTCTGGCCTGGCCGTTCCCTGGGTACGGTGGTCACACGCCAGGCCCAGGGCAGGGCTGGACCCGGACTCAAATCCCAGCTCTGTCGCCAGCCTGGCTTCCCTCTTGGCTTTCTCCTTGGGTCCCCGCCAGCCCGCTCAGGGTAGGTGTGGGCAGTTTTATTGCTGCTCACACCAGCCCGCTGGAGAGAACCCCACCAAGAGAACCCCAGCGAGGTTCTCTCTGAGCAGAGAGCAGAGGGCCTCTCTGAGCAGGTTTTTCTTGTGGGTGGCAGAGGCTTCCCCAAGGGAGAGCGCCACCCTCCATCTTCCCTCCCTCCCCAGGGAGGCTCTGCCCACCAGGGAGCTGGCTGACTGTGGGGGAGGATGTGGGCAGACCAGCTTTGGCCTGGTCTCCCAGTGCCCCCTCCTGGGGGCTCAGGTTGGCCCCTGACGCCTTGTCCTCCCTCCAGGTCCAGTCTTCCCTCCTCTACTTGGTTCAGCCTGGCCGCGCCTGCCCCCATGGGTCACCTCCCGGTGCTGGGAGCCGGGGAGCTGGGTATGGAGTTTGGGTTACACAGGGGTATGGCCCCTGGGCTGAGCAGTCCCAGGGAGGGCCTGGTTTAGGGAAGACGCCCACGTCCCACAGCCCAGATTCTCAAGCACCCGCTAGAACATGGTGCCGGCCGTGCTGCCGGCCTTGGGCTGGGTGCGACCTGGGTCTCTGTCTTCCCCCGCGCCCCAAGTGGCTCTTCCAGCTGTGGAGGTGCCTAGACAGAATGTCTTGTATTGCTTTTTTAAAAAATTGTGGTAAAAGATACAGAACATAAAACGTACCAATCTAACAATTTTTAGGTGCGCCGTGCAGTGGTATTATTCATGTTGTTGGGCAGCCACCGCCATCCATCTCCAGAACATCTCCATCTTCCCAAGTGGACACACAAACTCCCCAGGCCCCTGCCCCAGGCCCCGGCCACCCCCCTTCGACTTTCTGTCTCTGAATTGTAACTTCTCTAGTAACCTCGTGCAAATGGAATCAGACAGGGCTTGTCCTGGGGTGTCCGGCTTATTTCACTCAGCGTCATGTCTTCGAGCTTCATCTGTGTTGTAGTAGGTACCAGAATTTTCTACCCCCTTTTTTTTAGGGCTGCCTGTGTCGCTCTTGAGTACTGCTTTCTGTCCTGTGTGAACGGTACTGGCCACCCTTCACCACCGATTTACTCTGAAAATATGCAAATCTTGAGCGGCCCGTATCTTCTGCATCCTTCGGTGTTCTCAGCTCCGGGGAGGGGCTGGCGTGCACATGCAGGAGTGGGCCCCCAGGCATCCCCACGAGCTTTGTGGGCCCCATCACTTTACTCCTGGTCGACAGCCTCAGTTAATAAGAAATCCTTGTGCAATTGGCCAAGTCAATATTTTATTACAAAACACACACACGCCCACACACCGACACACACACAAACACACAGACACACACACAATGGGAATTCAGGCTGAAGCCCGGAAGGAGCCGGGGTCTCCTCTCTGGGGACAGGCTGACCACAGAGTGCTTCTGCAGACATGCCTCACTTAAGGAAGAGGCTCTCTCCAGAGAGAGGCTTTCCAAGCTGGATAAATTAGGAGATGGCTTGGTTTCTCTAAGAGGACTTAAGGCGGCTTCACTCCCCTGAGGAATGTGAAGTAGAAGCAGAGTTAGGCAGGAGTTTTCAGAAACCCCTCCCTCGTGGGTTAAGTGGGGTCATCAGTCCCTGAGGCAGGTGGTTCTCAAAGCAGGAGGGAGAGACCAGATTTCCCTGGAGGCTGGTTTTCTTTCCCGGGCGGGGAGGACTATTCTCCAAGGACGACTGGAAAGAGAGGCTCCGCGCGGCTCAGGAGCCCTGGAGGACGCCGAAGCCCCCCTCCTGTGCCCACCCGCGTGGACGGGGCTTTGGCACAAGATCATGGGGTCAGAAGCCCTTCGTGGGGGCTGGCCCACTGACCCTCCTGTGCGCAGGGCCTCCCGCGGGGCCGGGCCTGGGCTGGCATCACACAGCTGCATCTTGAGAAGGAAATGGCAAAGTTAGGCCGGCTGGCAGGGCAGGGCCCACGCAGAAGCCACACAGCAGGGGGCTGACCCGGTTCGGCTCAGTGCACTTCCTCCTTCCTCCACCCAGCACCCACCGCCCTTGGAATGATCTTAGCCTTTCTAAATACACTCAAAGAGAAAAAAATTCAGTAGTGCGGGGAGGATATCGTTGCTCCCCACCTCGCCGCAACCCCCAGCCCATCCTCAGAGGGACTTGAAGTGTCTTAGCTCTTTCTTTTGGCTCTTCCTTCCTGAATTTTCAGCCTATGTTTCTGCCAGTATTTACACATGTATCACCTTTAGCTGTTACCTAGTAACTCTCTTTCACATTCTCTACTTTTCATCATTCATTCTTTTTTTTCTTTAAACAGCTTGGCCGACATAGACTCCACGTACCATACAATCCACTAAATCCGTCTAAAGTGTACACTTCCAAGGTTTTCAAATATTCACAGGATGGCTCAAGCACTGACCACCACAATGTGAGAATCTTTCATCACTTCCAAAAGAGGGCCCATCTGCCATCCCATCCCCCAGCCCCTTGCAACACCCGCCCCCCACCCCCCACCATCTTCTTTCTGCCTCTTGGGATGAGCCCATTCGACACATTTCCCATCAATGGGATCCTACGGTCTGTGGTCTTTTGTGACTGGCTCCCTGCCCTCAGCATCAGTAGCTTCTGGAAGGAAATGGAAGCTCTGATGAAACAACCCTTCTGCGAGGCAGCTCAGCCCACAGGCCGTGCGTGCTCTGATGTTTTGTGGTGTAGAAGAACAAAGAGAGGAAGGGCTGGAGTAGAGAAGGGGACTAATCAAAATAGCTCTTAGCAGTGTTACTTCTAGGAAGGCATTCTAAAGAGAAATGGTATTAGGGATGAGTGTGGGGCTGTATTTATAAGGATGCTCTTTACAACACTGTTTAGTAGCAAAGAATTAAAGAAACAAAACATAATGACCCCAAATAGGAGACAAGTAAACTATGACACAGACGTGCAGTGGAACTGCAGTGAACTGCACCCAAGGCATGGAGCCATTAAAAGTGAGGGAGGAGAGGGGACCCGCCTGGCTCAGTCAGTGAGGAGTGTGAGTTCGAGCCCCACGGTGGGTGTAGAGACTACTTAAAAATAAAATCCTAAAAATGAATGAATGAATGAATGCATGCATAAATAAATTCTTTAAAAAAAAAAAACATGTTGGAGAAGAATCCCCAACCATGTGGGGAAAATGCCTGATTGGTGGTTAAATAGAAGAACAAGAGCAGGTTACAAATAACACATAAAGTCAGATCCTTTAATAAAAGCAACAAATAGATCTATGTATCTTTATACCTATCTATGTATCTTTATATCTGTTCATCCATCCATCCAGAGAGAGGAAATACTGGAAGGACAGACACCCAGCAGGTGCTATTTCTGGGTAATGTGATGACAGATGGTTTGCATGAAAAATTTTTTCTTTTTCTTTATGTGCACTTTCTAAATTCTCTACACTTCATTTTTGTCATTAGGAAATGGATTTAAAGAAAAGGCTTCAGCATCAGAGGTAGACACGTGAGGATGCCCCGGGCTATGGAAACAGGACGAGAGCAGAGGGCCTTGGGTTCCGCCTTTCCACCTGGGCCCCTACCCCTCAAGGCCTCCCCTGCAGTGGGGCCCTTCCCTGTTGCTGAACTCCACAACAGGCCGTCCTCCTGTTCCCCAGCAGAGGGAACTTTCAGAGATTGCCTGTGTTCGGACAACTGGAACTCACCTCCTGACTGGGTCACACACGAGATCTTGTAGGACATCCAGATGCTCGCCAGGCAGAGGAAGGTGGCCACGAAACCGAAGATCTGCACAGGACAGAGAAGAAAGGAGGTTCCCAGGCCAAGGGCCAATCACTCAGGCTGTCCTTTATGTTTCTCATCCCTGTACCAGCTGTGGCCCAGGGGGAGCCTGGGGGAACCGAGTGACCTGACCACCTGGTCCTTGCTCAGGTGCAGGGCCCTAGCTCAGGCCTGGCCCTCAGGCTCTGGGCTCCACCTCCTGGCCCTCCTCACTCCAGGCAACTTCAGGGCCCATGTTCGGGTTCGTATTTACAACTGAGCTGAGGCCAAGGCGCTGTAAAAGACAATTATCTGGGCTAATGAAAGAGAAGAAGGTGGAACTGTACATTTCAGTAGGGGTTTTTAAATTTCTAACATTCAAATGGATTTTACTGGATGGGGCAGCATTGCATTTCACTCTTAATGGCTTTCTGTTCTGTCTCACTTTATAGCTGTGTCATAGCCAGAAGCTGAGGCCTTGATATACAGTTTTACGTTTGCACGTATTTCAACAATCTTAGACTAAAATCAGTGAAGGCAGCACTCCTTCCCTTTCTGGGGGATCTACCCAGTGCTCAAGTGGCTGACCTCGCTGACCTAGGAAAGCTGACCCAGCCCCATCCAGCTTCACTTAAAGATGAGGAGCAGGGCGGCCAGGGAGGAAAAGGGCCTCGGGTGGGGCTCATCCGATGGTCCAGAGAGAAGCAGGCACACACTCTGGTGTCTGTCTGGCACTTGGAAGCCTGCAGTCAGTTCCTGACCTGTGAACAGCAACGTAGGAGCTATGACTTACTGACCACCGACTCTGTGCCTGCCGGGGTTCTAAGCCCATTAGGGGTGCTGGTCCCTTCAAGTCCCACCCCTCTGCCAGGTGGGTGCTGCTCTTACCTCCCATCTCCCTCATCTGGCAGCTAAAGACAGGGAAGGACGGCAAGTCAACTAGTTTGCCCAGGGCCACGAGCCAGCAAGGGCCAGACATGGGATGTGCGCCCTAGGAATCTGGCTCCAGAGCCCTGCTCGATTTTTGCCCAGATGTTCCCGGACTTGCAAATGGCCTCCGGTTGGCGACGTGGCCACAACCACGGGCTGACGTGCAGTAGGCACAGCCCGGGAGCAGCCAGACCAAGGGCATGGTCTCCAAGGGTTTGGTTTGCTTTTCAAGCCTGGCTGCTGGTTCACAGAAGAGGCTGCCCCCACAGGCCCACACCCGGCTTCCCCGCCCCCAGGTCCCTTTCCTTGGCTCCCTTTGCACCGATTGTCTGTACCACATAATTAGCCTATTGGAGCCTGTCCTGGCCCCTCATTGTCTGTTCTGCACAATTAGCACATTAGATACCATCCCGGTCTCCTACTGTCTGCACTGCATAATTGAACAGTTTATTATACTGCTACGTGGTGCTCTTCTGGATGACAATGCCTTGTTTGCTGATTGTTTCATGGGCCTCAGCCTTGACTCCTAAACTGGATGACCATTTTCTCATAAGCAAGGACTGTATCTTTTTGTTTCCTCTGGCTCCCCCATGGCCGAGGCTTGGTCCTAGGCACCAAGCTGGTGTATGATAAATGGGGCTTATTGGGATTCTGGGGCTAACAAACATGGTTATGTGCAACCTGAATCGTAAAACCCAGGGGGAACCTCTCCATGTGGTCCCGAAACACAATGGGCACCAGTTTCCTCTGTCTCCCTCACCAGCCTGTCTGTAGTCAGGCGGGTGGTAAGCTGTAGGTGGTGCCCACCTCTCTCCTTGGGAACCGCAGAGGGCGGCACTTAAGCTCATGAGTATTCAAAGGCTTGGCTGCGCCGTGCCCATCTTTGGAGGACAGACCCCACCCCTCGGTGGAATTCCAGGCATTAACCCACTCCCAGCCCAAAGTCTGGAGAATTTTGCTAACATATAAATGAAAGAGTGCCTGTCTCATAGAGCTTTTCTTCAAACTCATTTAAAAAATTGAGGTGCCTGGGTGGCTCAGTCAATTAAGCGTCTGATTCTTGATTTTGGCTCAGGTCATGATCTCAGGGTTGTGAGATGGAGCCCCGTGCCGACACGGAGCCCACTTAAGATTCTCTCTCTCTCCCTCTGCCCCTACCTTGCCCTCGCACCCACCTGCTCTCTCTCCCTCTCACTAAAAAAAAAAACAAAAACAAAAGAAAAACCCTCATTCAAAAAATTTCATCTGCTCATCAGTGAGGCAAATCAGTGTCATAGCCAGAAGTAACCAATTAGCTAAATCAGAAATCAGGGAAAAAACTTCTGTAACCAATTAGCTAAATCAGCTGTAATCAATTAGCTAAATCAGAAATCAGATGGCAGGAATCTATGTCTTTTAAAAATAAATACATACAAATGAACACACCCATGTATATATATTTGCATAAGTGTGGTAAACACAGCTCCCACAGCACTGTATTTTTATACACTTCCATCCTTCTATTCAGGCTATCAGATGGATTAATTTTCACCTTTGCAAGGTCTAGGAGCGTTGTTTCCTGGCCTGAATACTGCTATAAATCAGGACCAGCAGAGCTACCATTCATGGCAGGGATCACTAACTGATCACATGCTCTTTTTCTGGGCCCCAAAGAGGCCTCAGGATCTTTGCATAGCCTGAGGCAGCCCCCAATGAATGACCCGAACGGGCATGTGCATTAAGACCGACTGGCCCCCTGATGTAAGGAGTGGCTGTCTGAGGGAGGGCTGGGCCGCTGGCGCCATCTGAGTGTGCCAGGAACCCCACCATCCACCTGCTGAGGCCCTCTGTTGTGGACCCGGCTCTTTGGAGGCTGCTGTTAGCTGGATCCAGGTGGGTTCGGATGGGTACTTTTCTGGGAAAGAAAGGCCCCAGGAAACAATCTCCTCGCTGCCCATCAGGAAGAAAATGCGCAAGAAGTGAACTCATTCGTGAAGGTTCCCCCGAGAGTGTCCTCACCGCTCCAGCTACCAGTCCGCTCTGGCTGTAACTCTTGGAGGCCGCCACAATGGAGGCGATGAGGAGGAGCAGGGTACCGATTAAATAGTGCAGAAGTTCCTGGGGACAAAAACAAAGCAAAGCTGTGGGTCGGGAGGTCCACTCCTGGTTCTCAGAGGCAAGTGGGCACAGAAGAGAGGAACAGAGGGGAGGCAGTGACATCTCCTCTTCTCCTCATGACCTCCTGCAGAGCAGTTTGCTCACAGGCAGCAGCTGCAGAAGGCCGGCCAGGATGAGGCCCTGCAAGACAGAAAAGGAGCCGGGCAGGCAGCCAGAGAGGTGACAGAGAGAAAGGACACTTGTCGGGTGAGGAGAGATACCCACTAAGGACTGCTCCACTCCTGAGAGCAATCTGTAGACAGCACCCCGACCTCGGGCCAACAGCTTCCCACAACTCCCAGGCTGGAGAGTTTAAAGGAAGCTCCAGCTCTGAGAAGCAGAGCCCCTTCAAGAGATGTGTACCTCTCACTTCTGCTTCAGAGAAAGTTCTGGGCTAACAACGTGCTAGCTTTGGTGGTTGCCTGGAGTGCCTGCCCACTCTGTGAACAGTTTTAGGTGCGGTCTGGAGGTGCTGGCCCCCTCAGACCTGGAGTCACAGCCCAGGGTGAGGTCAGAGGCCCTCTGTGAAGTGCTTGTGGGGGTGGGAGGAGCTGACTTTCTGGCTCCTAATAAGCCTCCTCACTTTGTCCTCATTTCATCTTCTCTCTGCTCTCTGGGAGTGTGCCCTCAGGCCACACTGCTGAGGAGTTTGCTAGCAGGGCAGATTCCACCTCTGCTTCCATCCTTCTGCACCCCATTCACCCTCCGGACTTAAAATGCCCTCTCTGCAGGCCCTGAATGAGGCTGAACCTCTGTCATTCAGCAGCAGGGTAAGGCTTCCACTTCTTCCTTCTTCCTCCCCATTAAACACCAGATCAGAGGAGAACTGGGGCTTAGGGCCACCAGAGGACTCCCTCTGGATCCAGAGTGTATTCATTTTTAGTTGTCTTCCATGAGGATTCAGAAATTAGTCCTCCGTGAAGTTCTGCCCATCAGGGCAGGCACCTATTAAATTTTGGAAAAGCATTCCACTTTTAAGCTGCAGCTCCTCTGAAAGCTGTGTGAAATCAAAGACCCCAATTTCTCCTTTAGCGACTAGAAAGGAAAATCAGAAGGTGGACCGCAGAGATATTGACTGAAGAGCAGATTAGTAACTGAAGTTCCCTACCTCCAAGATTCTCACCCATGAAGAAAGAGGAATAGGACATGGGGTAGAGAAAACTGATTCGAGAGAGTCCTAAATGAAAGTGCCTCAATATACCTCATCAAAAATGTGGGGCTGAGCTTACCCCTCCAACATGCACTCCCCTCTCCACCCACCCCCATCCCTGCCCCCGGCCTTTCTCTCTCCTCAGAGTGTTTCAGTATCAGCATCATTACCAGAGGACTTTGCTCTCAAAAGAAGCAGAAAGGTGCCATAACTTTGAAAGGGGCCTTGTAACTTAGGAACACAAAAGAAATGTCTCTCAAAATAACACAGCAGGTAATAACATTAAATGTGAATAATTAAACAATCCAGAGGTTGTCAGACTGGATAAAAAAAAAAAAAAAAGATACAGGGGTATCCGGAAGGCTCAGTTGGGTTAAGCGTCTCAGCTCGGGTCTTGATCTCAGAGTCGTGAGTTGAAGCCCCATGTTGGGATCCACACTGGGCGTGGAGCCTACTTAAAGAAAAAGAAAATCCAACTATATGCTGTCTATTGGAGAAACACTTTTTAAAAAAAATATTTTATTTATTTATTTGAGAGAGAGAATGAGATAGAGAGAGAGAGCATGAGAAGGAGGAGGGTCAGAGGGAGAAGCAGGCTCCCCGCCGAGCAGGGAGCCCGATGCGGGACTCGATCCTGGGACTCCAGGATCATGACCTGAGACGAAGGCAGTCGCTTAACCAACTGAGCCACCCAGGCGCCCTAGAGAAACACTTTATACTCAAAGATACAGATAGACTGAAAGCAGAAAGAAGGAAAAGATAGGTCATTCAAACAGCAACCAAAAGAAAGCTGGAGTGGTTATACTAGTATCAGGCAAAATGGATTTTAAAAGAGAAATGTTACCAGAGATAAAGAGGGATATTTTACAATGACAAAAACAGCAATCTATCAGGAAGACAGAACAATTACAAACACGTATGCACCTAATAACAAAGCAACAAAATACATGAAGCAAAAACTCAGTGAGCTAAAGGGAGAAATAGGTAATTCAAAAATAATAGTTGGAGACTTCAATACCTCACTTTCAATAATGTATAGAACAACTAGGGAGAAGACCAACAAGAAAATAAAGACTCAATGCTATAAGACAACTAGACCTAACAGACATCTATAAAACACTCTACCCAACAACAGAATATACATTCTTCTCAAATGCACATAAAATATTCTCCAGGAGACACTATATGGTAAGCCATAAAACAAACTTCAATAAATGTGAAGGATTGAAATCATATGAAGTATGTTCTTCAAATACAACAGAATGAAATTAGAAAGCAATAGCAGAAAGAATTTTGGGAAACCCACAAATATGTAGACATTAACACATTCCTAACTACTGGGTCAATCAAATGCAAAATCACAAGGGAAATTAGAAAGTACCTGGAGATGAATGAAGATGATGATATAATATACTAAAACTATGGGATGCAACTAAAGCAGTGCTCAGAAAGAAATTTATAGCTATACATACCTACATTAAAAAGGAAGAAAGTTTTTAAATTAATAACCTAATCTTCACCTTAAGACACTGGAAAAAGAACAAACTAAACCTAAAGCAAGGAGGAAGAAGGAAAAAAAGACTGAAGCAGAAATTATGATATAGGGAACAGAAGAACAATAGGGAAAATTAGTGACACCAACACTGGTTCTTTGAAAAGATCAACAAAATAGCCAAACCTTTAGCTAGACTAATCAAGAAAAAAAAGAGAGAGAAAAGATGACGAGATTCAAATGACCAGAATTAGAAATGAAAGAGGGGACATCACTATGGATCTTACAGAGGTAAAAGGATTTTAAGGGAATACTATGAACAATTATATACCAGTAAATTAGAAAACTTAGATGAAATAGACATATTCCTCTAAAGACACACCACTGAAAATGACTCGGGCAGAAATAAACAATCTGAATAGATCTATAAAAAGTCAAGTTTGAACTAATAATAATAATAAATTACCCACAAGAAAAACCCAGGCTCAGATGCCTTTGTTGCAAAATTCTACCAAACATTTAAAGAAGAATTAATACCAATTCTTCACAAACTCTTCTAAAAAATATAAGAGGTGGTAACACTTCCCAAATTACTCTGAGACCAGTATTACCCTGATAACAAAACCAGACAAAGACATCACAAGAAAACCACAGACCAATATCTCTTATGAATACAAATATGAAAATCCTCAACAATATATTAGCAAACCAAATCCAGCTACACATAAGCTGAATTATATATCATAAATTATCCCAGGGATGCAAATGTTAGTTTCACATATGAAAATCAATGTGACACACCATATTAACAAAATATTAAGGGGGAAAACAAACATGATTATCTCAACAAAGAAAAAGCATTTGACAAAATCTAATACCTTTTCATGATTAAAACACTCAACAAAGTAGGACTGGAAGTTAACTCCATAACATCATATTTAATGATGAAAGACGGAATGCTTTCCTCCTAAGATCAGGAACAAGATAATGATGTGTGGTCTTGCCACTTCAATATTCAACTAATTTCTTGCAGTGAGACAAGAAAACGAAATAAAAGGCATTCAGATTGGAGGGGAATATAAAACTATCTCTATTCATAGATGGCATAATCTTGTATAGAAAATCCTAAGGAACCCATTAACGATCTGTCAGATCTAAAATGAGTTCAGCAAGGTTAAGGACACAAGATCAATATACAAAAATCTCTTGTATTTCTATCCACTTGCAATGAACAATCCCAAAATGAAATTAAGAAAATAATTACATTTGGAATGTCATCAAAAAGAGTAAGATACCTAGGAACAAATTTAACCTCCCCCCTCCAAAAAGCACAAAGCTTACCCTCTGAAAACTACAAAGCACGGTTGAAAGAAATTAAAGATCTAAATAAATGGGAAAACCTTCCATGTTCTTAGGTCACAAGATTTAATATTGTTAAGATGGCAATATTCTCCAAATCGATCTATAGATTCAATGGTTTGTATTAGAATCCCAGCTGACTGCTTCGTAGAAACTAAAAAGCTGATTCTAAAATTTGTATGAAATTGCAAAAATCCAAAACAATCCTGAAAAAAATGGGAAGATTCATAATTCCTAATTTCAAAACTGGTTAAATATCTACAGCAATCAAGATAGTGGGGTAAGATCAATGCAATTGAGAGTCCAGATGTAAATCCATGAGTTTATGGTCAACTAATTTTCAGTAAGGATGACAAGACAATTCAATGGGGGAAAGAATGGTCTTCCCAACAAATGGTGCTGGGACAACTGGATATTTACCTGCAAAAGAATGAAGTTGAATCCTTAACTCACACTAGACACAAAAATTAATCCAAAATAGACCAAGTACCTAAATGTAAGAGCTAGAAGTATGAAACTCCTTAGAAGAAAACATAGAGGCAAACCTTCATGATCTTGGATTTGGCAATGCCTTTTAGATTTTATACCAAAACACAAACATTTTTTTATACCAAAAAAAGAAAAGTAATTAAATTAGATCTCATTGAAATTAAAAACTTGTGCTTTAATGGACACTATCAAGAAAATGAAAACCAACCAAAAGAATGGGAGAAAATATCTGCCAATCATTTATCTGGTAAGGGACTTGTAACTAAAATATACAAAGGACTCTGAGAATTGAGTAATAAAACAACAACCTAATCCAAAAATGGGCAAAGGATCTGTACAGACTTTTCTCTGAAGAAAATACTCAAATGGCCAAAAAGCTCATCAAAAGATGACTGACATCAATAGTCATCAGAGAAATGCAAATCAAAACCATGAGATACCACTCCACAGTCACTATCATGACTGAAATCAGAAAGTCAGAAAATAATGAGTGTTGAGAAGGCTATGGAGACCCTGGAACCCTCATACACTGCCGATGGGAATGTCAACTGGGGCAGCCAGTGTGGAATAAAGTCTAGCCGTTCTTCAAACAATGAGACATAGTTACCATGGGACCCCACAATTCCACTCTCAGGTATATCCCCAAGCAAGATGAAAACATGTCCATACCAAAAACTTGTACATGAGTGTTCATAGCAGCATTATTCATAACGTTTCATAATACCCAAAAGGTGGAAACAACCCAAATGTCCATCCAATAAGCAAATAAACAAGACGTGGTCTATCCTTTCAATGGATGTGGCTGTTAAAAAAATGAAGTACTGACCCATGCTACGACATAGATAAACCATGAAAACACTCTGCTAAGTGAAAGAAGCCAGTCACAGAAGACCACACATATGATTCCACCTACAGGACATGTCTAGAATAGGAAAATTCACAAGACAGCAAGTAGATTCACGGTTGCTTTCAGGCTGGAGAGGATGAGAGGTGGGAGGTGATAGCGAAAGGGGATGGGGTTTATTTTTGAGGCGAGGAAAATGTTCTAAAATCGACTGTGGTGATGCTTGCACAACTCTGGGACTATGGTAAACTCTGTTGAATTGTACACTTTAAGTGGGCAATTGTATGGCATGTGAACTGTATGTCAATCAAGCTATTTAAATAATAATATAGCGGGAAGAAAAAAAATCCTGGAAACTTCTGGAATCTTTCCTCAGACTCTGCCAGTCCCTTTTAGCTGACAAACCTTATCACAACAGTATAAACACCCATCGCCTTTATCAGCTTCCTCTTCCTACCCTTTTCTGTCCCTTGAGAAAACACACACACAGCTTTCTTATTGCTGGAAGGTGAGTTGTTTTTTGTTTTTTTTTTAAAGATTTTATTTATTTGTTTGACAGAGAGAGAGCAGGAGAGCACAGGCAAGGGGAGCAGCAGAGGGAGAGGGAGAAGCAGGCCCCCCACTGAGCAGGGAGCCCTACGCAGGGCTTGATCCCAGGACCCTGGACTCATGACCTGAGCCGAAGGCAGACGCTTAACCAACTGAGCCCCCCAGGCGCCCCTGGAAGGTGAGCTTTAGAAACCAGCGGGACATGGGCTGAGATGCCCACCAGACAGTGAGAAGTTCAGGGCTGCAGCAGGAAGAGGTGATGGAGGAGGGGGGGGCTGTGGGGGAGGGGCAGATGGGACAGAGTCTGTCGGGTCTCAGGGCCCCGGGCCACCCCCTTACCGACAGCGGCCAGCTGATGCAGGTGAGCAAGCGGTAGAGGCGGAAGAGGTGCACCAGGTAAAAGGCGAGGATCATTATCAAGTTGCAAATGGTGACCACTTCAAAGTAGCTGTAGGCGCTGTAGCTGACCCACACAGAACTCCTGACGCAGATGAAGGCGATCAGCAGCGTGACCTGGAACAGAAATACAGACGCGTCAGACACAGGCCAGCCCATGACGGACGCCCAGGGAACAAACAACCGGAGCACACGGAGAAATTGCTGCAATTCCGGTGATCTCCTCACAAACCGGCTGCAAGGCTGGGAAAGTGCCAGTTCCCAGAGTGCAAGCTTTTAAGACACACGCGAGCTGTCGCTGCAGCCGAGTGGGCTTATCCTCTGAAGTGCCTTCTGTTATGCCAGTGGGATGCCTCCTCAGAGAGAGGGTGGGAACGCGGGAAAATAACCAAGCAGAATCATTCCATTTATTTACCTATTAGGTTGAACTGTAGGAAGTTGCCACTATTTGGCCGTTTTGGACCCACAAAGATGGCGGCTCCTATGTCACGACTTACTGGCTGGCGGCCGGACGGTAAGGTAGCATTTATTGATGCCTGATGTACATGATCTCCTTGAGGCCTCACAGAAATCTGCCATGGAGAGGGCATCACCCCCATGTTCACACTGGGAAACTGAGGTACACTGGTTCAATAATGGTTCCAAGGCTACCCAGCTCATAAGCAGTGGGAGGTGGGATTCAAAAACCCAAGTGTGTCTGACTCCAAGGACCCGTTCCTCCATGTCAGATGCAGTTTTGCTTTCCAAGAATGTAAGCCCTCCTCATAGACAAACTGAGGAAGGTAGATTTGTTATGAAACAGAAAGGAATCCTGGTTATTCAAGGCGGCGCTTGCTCACCACTGGGCATGTGGTGAGAGCTCACCAAGTATACTGTTGCAAATGAATGAACGTGCAGGATTAATAAATTAATGACCTATTAATGAATTAACAGGTCTGGTAAATTATTAGCAACATATGAATCCCACGGGAGAGCAGATCGGAAGAGGAGAGAGAAGATTCTGAGTTTTTGTGAAGGCCACTCAAAAAGAATAAAATCTTATTTACCCCACATAGGGAAGAAACCACTAACACACAGGTGTTAAATGATGGAAAACCTTAGGATCTATTTTAAAAGTACAACTAATTTAGGACAAAGATGATTTTTTTACTGCTTCTTTCCTATAGAACAGTGAACAAAGGCTGTGTGTGTGTGTGTGAGAGAGAGAGACAGAGAGAGAGAGAGAGAGATTTTGTGTCCTATGGGACACTCGGCAATGTCTAGTTTGGTTGTCACCATGATGGGAGGCTGCTGCAGGCATTTAGTGGGTAGAGGCCGGGGTACCACTGAACACCCCACAATGTACAGGATAGCCCCCACAACAAAGAACCATCTGGTTTCAAATGTGGCCCAGACTCTTGTGCTGTCATGGAGAAACCTGCTGTAGAAGAAGTGAGTCCAGGGGCGCCTGGGTAGCTCAGCCGCTTAAGCGTCTGCCTTCAGCTCAGGTCAGGATTCCAGGTCCCAGGATCGAGCCCCACGTCCGGCTCCCTCCTCAGCGGGGAGTCTGCTTCTCCCTCTGTCCCTCACCCTGCTCATTCTCTCTCTCTGCTCTCTCTCTCCCTCAAAAAAATAAAATAAAATCTTAAAAGAAAAAAAGGAAGAAAATGTGAGTCTATAACAAGCATTAAATCACAAAAATGACCTAACACCGGTTAAAAGGGTCAGTGCGAAACACACTCTGTTTTCTCAAGCCCCTCATTCCATTCTGGCAAACTCCTCAGAAAAGGCACAAGGGCGAGAAGAGAATCTGGCACGAAAATGAAGGTATGTGCAAGAGGAGTGCTCTGCTTGCCAAACCCAAACAGCAGACGGACTCTGACACAACGGGACCCTCAACATTTGCGTATTCCCCTTTGCTAATGAGCAACGTGAGTATTTTCATTTTTTCAGTTCCTCTCAAGCCAGCCAGCCTTGGTAATATAATGATTCATGCCTTGAGGTTGTTTTAAAGCTCTGAGGGGGGGCTTTGCTTCACCCAGGACTGGGCGGTTTCACCAGAGTTTTGCTGCTCATCAGTCCCTATTTGCAGGCCTCAGTCTACGGGTCTCGCCACCTCCTGCTGACTTTTTTTTGCATGGCGGAGGAGCGGGGTGGGGGCGGCCTTCAAGGCTCACCTTAAAATACAGAGAACTCAGAATTATGCAGCGCCATTCCTAGGTGGAGAAGCAAATTTGTGCCAAATTTAATGCAAAGATTAGACTAATTTGTACGACTCTTCATCTGTGACAGTCACCTCTTTCACATAGTGACACAGAGATGGGGGAGTTTCCCAGTGAACACAGAGGTCTGTGCAGGTCTTCCCCTCTGAGCTCCCAGGGCTGAGGACCTTGCAGCAGGAAGGATGTTCGTGCTCTATCACAAAACCATCTCAGACCCCCCTGGAAAACATTCTTGTGAAAGAAGGCTTCCCAAATCCTGTTCAATCGGCCTAAGGCTGCCTACCATGTGCTCTTCTTCCAAGAATCCCAATTTTGCAAAATCTCATGCAGACCACAGATGATATACGCTAACACATGCAACTATAAGCTTCCCTTTGGTCCAATAATTCACTCATTCCTACTTTAAATGGCCAGCATCCTAGCCAGCACACTCAAAAAAAAAAATTAATTGACACCAAACTTTTCAGAACTCTTCTAAGGCCAGCAGGTAACCTCTGCAAATGCTGGAGACCCCTGAATCTTGTAGATCAATACTCTGAGGGCAGGCAGAAAGGTGAAAAGGAAGATTGAGCAAGCCAGACCATCGTGGAAAAAACGCCCTAGGGTATGGATCCCGCCCCCCCCCCCCCCCACAACCACAGCCCCTCAGACCTCTTCTTGTTTCCAGTTAGAAAAGCAAATCAAAACACAGCGTAATGCAGACAACCTGAAGGAGGAGTTCTGATTTCAAGGCTGAGTGAGGAAGGCTGGGAGTTTTCTGGAAGGCACGCGTGGTTCTGTTTAGTGGAACTTAAATGTGATACTATCCAACGGACTAACTTGTTTCCCCGGGGGCCCTCTTAGCTCCCCTCATAAAGGTGTGTTCTTTTACTTTGAACTGCCATGAAAGTTGCGAATCAAATCTCTAGCACACATGTCCAGGGGTTTAAAAGTATGTTGCAAGCACCCTCGACTCAGAGCCAGGGTCTCACACACCAGCTGTGGCACCATTCAGATCACTGAAATCATCTCAGATCGAAACCACCCCCTCGTCCCCCAAACTGTCATTTCTGACTTCATTCTGTCAGAGTTTTTACTTTCGAGAAGAGATGATTTTTGTGAAAGCAGCAGTGGGTTTAAATTTTACAGATGAAGCAGGCTGACATCACCTGAGAGGAACGAATGTCCCTCCACCACAACTCTGCAACTAAAATGTCCTGGTCTCGGGCGCCTGGGGGGCTCAGTCGGTTAAGCGTCTGCCTTCAGCTCAGGTCATGATCTCAGGGTCCTGGGATCGAGCCCCGCATCGGGCTCCCTGCTCAGCGGAGAGCCTGCTTCTCCCTCTGCCCCTCCCCCTGCTTGTGCTCTCTCTCTCTCTGTGTGTCAAATAAATAATACCTTAAAAATAAAATAATAAAAAAATAAAATAAAATAAAATAAAATAAAATAAAAGTCCTTGTCTCCACAGCCAGGTGCCAGGCAGCTTGCTCAGGTTCTCAGCCTGGTTGGGTCCCTCAAGGAAGAAATCACCCGCTGCCTGTAGTCTGTGACCTGGAACATTCCTTCAAGCAGGCTTGATCTTCCCATGCACCTGCCAGGTCTGCTGTGCTGAGTCACGTGCCTGCATCTGGCTGAAGATGGCCCCAGACACCTTACGGTTCAAGAACCCCGGGCTGGATGCAGGCAGGTCACCCAACCTTCTTGTGGGGGCTTTTATCCTGATCTTGGAATAATGTTTCAGTGAGGGAGACAGGCAGGAGAAAGAGAAGTAGGATGAAAGCCCACATCAAAAGGTCTCAGACCCAATTCTAAAAGGCTTTTCTGGAAAAGCCCACGAGATGAAAGTCAGGCTTGTTCAAAAAGTCAGAGATGGGGTGAGTCAGTGTGCAAAGTGCATTTGTAGATGCAAGCGGCCCATAAATGACTTTGCTTGGCTGTGGGCAGGCAGGAAGAGAATTTGATATGCTTCTAACTTCGGCTGAATTCTGCCCTGCGGTGGAAGGAAATTTCCCCCCCGCCTTCCTGTTAAAGCCCCCGCTGGTCATCACCACCAAACAGCCCTTGTGGAACTTCATTAACACCCACGTGAGAGAGAACCCTCACCCGGCTTACTTCCACTGGATCCCCGTCTCGCTCATCAGTATCAGACTCTTGCTACAGGCTCCTTCCCATCCCCGCAAGCCCCAGCACACAGTTCTGTTCTGTATCCAAAAATAAAAAATGCCACTGAAAGCACAAGGGAGGGGGAATAATCGAAAGAACATTGTGTCAGGGGTCCTCAGGTGCGGGTCTCGAGCAGCTCGCTAGTTAATGCGCTGGTTTCCGACTCTAACCAGGCAGCAAAGTTCCTGCAGCTTATTAGAAACCAAATATGCTTGCCCATGCTGGGACTATTTCTGGAAGGACACCTAAGAAACTGGCCGCCTCTGGGGAGAACTGATTATTTAGCGGTTTTTCAAATTTGCTATTTTGTTTTCTTGTATTATAAAAAAATCACATATTAAGCTGTAAAAAAAGCATTTTTTAAAAAATGACACGTCTTGGAGATCTTTAATGGCACAGATTTACCCTTTTCTTTCAGTTGGCTGCAGTTTTATTTGACCCAGTGTTTCTCAACCTCAGCACTGCTGACATTTGGAGCTGGGTAATTTTTGGTAGGGGCTGTCCGGTAGGATGGTTAGCAGCATCCTGGTCTTCCCCCACGAGATGCCAGTAGCACTTTCCTAGGTGAGAGAACCAAAAATGTCCTCAGATGTTGGCAAAGGTCCTCGGGGGCAAAAGCACCTCTGGTCACGAGCCACTACCTTAAACAACTTTTTGCCGACGGGCATTTGTCACATCCCCAGTTTTTTACTAATACAAACAACCCTGCAAAAGAATATCCTTGGGCACGCTTCTTTCTGTACGTACGAAGATTTCTGAAAGGTTCTCAGACAA